GCGGTGTTTCCTTATAACACGCGATCTCTTATGCCAGTGTAATCGGATGTGTTCGTCTGACATGACATTTCAGTAATAAAACCTGTCTGAGAACTGTCGAGACAACTTTAAAATGATAAATCGTTAAAGGATACCCAAATAAATAAGAAAAACCTTCTTTTATCATATTTTATTACAAAAAATAACCTTATCATCCAGGTTACTTTGAAGTTAAAAAATCATGATTGTTATTTTCTATTTATTTATTACACAGTAGTCAAACATTCAGGCGCAGCTAATATTAAGTCAAGTAATTACTTACAGCTGATATGAAAAATTAGTTTATTACAAATAATCTGCTAAACCTCATACAAACCAATAATTTAGTTGGACAATCTAGAGGTCGAGAAATAAAAAAATGCCAACTAATGAGAAGACAGTGGTGGATATGTCGCTCAATTTCGTGGATTAGTTGAAGTTAGACATTAACACCGTTGGATGCCGGCTCAGTGGTCTAGAGGTTAAGAGCTCGCGCGCGAGACTGATAGGGCGTGGATGCATACTGCTGAGAAATCCCACGGTAGGACGAAATGGTCGTCTAGTGTTTCCAGGTTTCCCATGGTGGTCTAGCCTTAATTGACTCATGATCTCAACTATTAAAATAATATGTAAAAGTCAACATTACTAAGTAAATATACACTACTGCTATTCGCATACTACTCGAGCAATCAGTATCTTTGATGTTGCGAAAATTGTTTTTGTCAAGTTATTTACACAAAAATTAATATTTAATTTACATCTCATTTTTCTTTATCTTAATGTCCTATTTCTCTGTTTAATGACTTCCCACAATTTATAAAATTATGTATGGAACAAATCAGTATTATGCAGTGTAATATGAAACATGTACATTAATTGTGTAATTACTGAATGAGCAGCAGTAGAGTAATATATATTGTAAGGATTTTTATGTTAAACAATGTCGTGCTATTGATTAAGGTTAGTTAAAACTAAAATTAAAGCAGAATAACTTAAATTCATTATATTTCGTGGCTTCTCATCAGCTGCTTACAACCATCTATGTAATAAAATGTAACATTGATATATATATTGGAATAGGTGAGGTCATTTGGTGATGAAATTCAAAAACAACGGGGAAGGTGAGGCACTGATCAAATGAAGTCCAGAAACAGGTAAATTGTGTGATAATTATGGAAGTTGTGTGGAATTTATGCAATATTCAAATCACTTGAAAATAAATATGAAAGACCTTTGGTTATGACTTGATAATTGTCTAGAATAAGAAACTGATAAGGTGGGTTACATAATAGTTAAACAGGACTTGAAGAGTTTACATATGTTTGGAAATTGAAGTGAACTGAAAAACAGATGAATGAAAGGATGATTTTAGTATATATAAAATAAGAATTAGTTTGGGGAAGATCACATAACAAAATCATTACTAAAATACTAATAATGACAATAACAGAAAACTATGATTTACCAACGTAGTGATAAGCTTATAAGCAAAGATGGATGGTGGCTAGTAGTACAATCCAGGACGTGCGTTTCGTTCAATTTGGAACTCGTAAGATGGATATACCTGCTTATAATGCTTGTGACTTAGGGCAATCCACACCTAATGAACATATGCCAATAAGAGACTGATCAATCGCATTCCTAAACATCAATGGGAGGATTTAAACAAACGATACAAAATGTAGTGATAAGTTATTTACTCTCTCTTTCTGAACACATAACTCAATTTTGAGTTTAGTTATTGCTACTGCCTCGGCAGAGCTGAAAGACGCTGCTATTTATCGTATTTGACACGTGATTTGTTTCGGCATACTTCTTGATGAAATTTATAGGAAGCTTGAAATAGACGAAGCTTAAACACGCAATCGAAGACTAGACCCTATTGTAAATATATTGATGACATATATCTTGTGTGCAACAATCAGAAGCCCACTATGTACCTACTCAATCTGTTTAACAATGAACATAATAATATAAATTTTACTACCGAACATGAAGTAGAAGGTAAATTTTGTACCTTAGATATTGGAATTAAACGAAGTTCAGATAGCACTCTACAAAGATACATCCACCGGAAAAATACATAAAGTGGAGTTTATCTTGTGGTGGCTGGTATTATATCAAGCCCACATAAGTTATACATACCAGCTTCTGGACAGGCCAGTTTATTCATTCTTCTCAAGCCATATTTTGACCTTGTTAATTATTCGCTTATTAATCCTGACTTTTTATATGACATGAGTGCATGTGTGTTAATTGTTCATTACGTGTCTCTAACGTATTTTTTGTCTGAATATAAATATTGACACGCTTAATAAAAAAAGTTGGCTCACTCATCTTCTCCGCTGCGTGTCACCTCGTTTCGATTCTGTCTGAATCAATGAGTGTATGAAATATACATATTCAATACTCATTCTCGTATTTTGCTTACTTTATTCCGTTATTCTCTGAGGCGAATGTAGTCGATAAATATATACGAGGGTTGGCGACATGTACATTTCAATAACAATCAGCATTCGATTTGGCTGGTGTCAGATATAGGACCATTAAAATTCAAACCACAACAGCTTCTGTCCAATAAATTACAAGAGGGATTTTACGAAACCTTTTTGACCGCTCTCGTGTTCAAAGAAAAGCCTGAAAGAACTTGCTCATGAATAAATGTACGTCCAGTGAAATACATATATTTTTTTGATAATCCATGTTATCATAATTTCTTCCGTTATTAGTGTCAATTGTTTCACATTATATCATATGTCAGTGTTACTTTTGAATACATATATTGTTGTAAGCGACTAATAAGAAGCCACGAAATGTAATGAATTCATAATATTCTGCCTCAATTGTTTTTAGATTTATTCAAATTAGTAAGATCAATTGCGTGAAATAAGGTTATTTGACAAAAACGGCAGACGAGTTTGTTTGGATTTACGGCAGAATGTAATCGAACGAGAGTTAACTTGACTACAATACTAAGATCAGTAACCAACCGATTATTATTAAAATCAGAAAGGAACAGTCATGAATAAAGTGATATAGAAGCCACATCACGAAAGTTTTGCTGTTGAGTTATATGCGTAAATCATAATACTTTGGTCGGATTTTAAGTAATTGAATAAAATGAATAACCTTACTTCCTTAAACGCATCTCATTATCATATAACCGTAATAACCTATTTCTAATCAAGCGAAATTTATGTGGTAAAATTGTATCAGCTCCAAGTGTTCAACTACTGTAAATGGGAATGTATTTTGCTACCATCCACAGAAAGTTGTTTCAATATATAAAGTTGATTGGTCACTCGATATTTCTTTAATAGTCTGATGTATTTAGTGTCCGAACCCCAGTGACACCACATTTTTTGTTCTAGTCTAAGTATATAGTGAAAAAGATTGGAGTTGTGGAACCTTAATGAGTAGACAGAGCTTCCAGTGGAATACTAGTTACTTTGAATAACTAAAGGGAACTCACCTCTCATCTACATTAGACACTACCTCTGACAATGTTTTAGCTGCATGTTGGAGGAACTGGATTACACGGTATGTGTGGGTAATACTTAAGAATGCTATGATTAGTTTCTGAATATTTACGGAATTGAACCGATCACTCAGGTTTCTGTTAAGTTGATTGTACCTGTAATAGTCTCAGAAGTGAATAACGTGGCACCTACTATCGAAGTAAAACTGGGAGATATGTTTACAGATAGTCTCCTTAGCTTGGTATTTTCGTTGTCCTACGCAAAGGCCTTGGTTTTTATACCAATTACACCAATAAGGATGAAAGGTGATTTCACACTTAGCTTAGATGAAACAGCAGTAAGATTTACTACATCTGCTAGAAGCAGGGGCTAGGTGGTTTTCTTTCTAGAGAACAACTAAAATAAGAAGTCATTTTGGGTTATATGACAACACAAAATTTTGTGAGGTTGACCGGATGTTCGTGTTTGAATATATTGCCTACAGCATTATTGGATTTTCAGATCCCCGCCAGCTAATGAAATTACAATACAACCCCGCTTAATACACAGAAATTGATTCTCTATATGGATTACTTGTTAGAGTAATCGGATGTATATTCCTCTTATCGCGATATTGAATTTAATATTTGTTCAGTTCTATAGAAATGTAGTGTTAAATCAGTCATTCTGAATGAACTTGGCATATCGTAATTGTATTCTTAAGTAATATAACTACGGTGATTAGCAGCTACGAACTTATTTTATAATACTTGATAAGTTTACGCTTTATATATATGAAATTCTATTTAATTAAAAAGACATTATATGATGAGTACGAAAAACAAACTGTTAGATGTCGTATTTCAACTGTAATACACAACCAGCCGACCAATATGAACTCAGTAAACATATAATTCGCGTGGAGGACTAAAGTAATCTTGTTAACATAACTTTAACACCATACTAAAACGAACAGAAACAACAGTAAAAGAAAGCAATGAACTATCTCCCTTACAATATTTTATCTGGTAACATCTCGGCCAAGATACTTCTAACAGTAAAGTGGCTTTTTATCACTTGGCTGTGAATTCAAGTATGATAATCCATACCACAGAACTAGTAATGCAGTTAACGAACACCGATAGCCATTAAACTAATTAGACAAAATTGGGAGTCATAAATTGAAAATACTAACTACGAACAGACGTTGACAGATGTAGCAGTGTTTCAAACACTATTGGAGATTCCAGCATATTTGTGACGTACCCAAATAAGGAATATCGCTTGGCCGAGACAGCATAACATTTAAAATGGGCGAATAACTAATAGAGAGAATGTTTCATGTGAACCACAACTGTTGATCGAATAATACCAAGTTAAAAATGCATCCAGTGAAAAAACCCTATGGTGGTTTTTGTTGCATGTAGAATTGTGCTTCCACTAATTGTTCTGAAAATATTTCTAACAAACACATTTGAATGTTTCCTTCCCATCCCAAAAAGAAAGTTAAGTAATTTGAATTTAATAACCATTTGGATTCGGGCTGATGTGAAAGCGATATTCACTGACTTACAATTATTATTACAAATCGAAAAACAATTATGTGCAAGTATATATTATTTAGAGAAATGTTAATAACCTCCTTTTATAACTGTAAAATTAATTCTGAATTACGATTTCTCTCCAAAGTGAAGATCATTACGACCAAACCACTTGGTCTACACATTTTATGTATAGAATGTTACATAAAAACTAAGAGTTGAAGGATCGTTTAATACGGATCAACAAAATTTAGATAAGCTGCTTAAAAAACTAGGTGAACACGTTTCTTCGATGTCTTAAAACAAAAAAAGAGAGCAACGTACGGAAAGGCTGACCAAAATAACAAACGAAAATACTAAGCGTTCCAGTAACTTTTTACTGAATTAAAAAATACTTAAATTACCCCCCCCCCAAAGAAATAGAAACAAAACACAAAATGCTACCGAGTTCTGTTAAAGATTTATCAAAATAAATTAAGGAGTCAATCGTTTTGGATCACGTGGGAACATTGATGTTTTTCTGATATTATCCAACCCAAGGAACAGCATAGTCACTCGCTCAAGACCTAAAATTCAATATTGAAGACATGTACTAATGAAAATGGAATAAACGTTCTTGCTCTATTTAAGGATATAACAGCATAGATAAATAAAACGGACTCCAAAATGTTGTTAAGAAAAAAATTACTCAGTGAGTTATTACACTTTCCTGCTCCTCTGTTTACAATCGTGCAGGTGATGCTAGAAAGTATTGTTGAGCTTCCGAAAAGCATAGTTCCAAGTAGGTGAACAATTATTAGGAGGGTAAACAAAAGCATCATTTATGAGTGTGTAACTACAATTTAGAATATGGCTATAATTATTAACTTTAGTACTGATAGTACACGCCCAGAACCTTACAGTTCATAGCACAACCCTTAGTTTTTTTTGTCTTCTGACTAAACCTACTAACATCTGTTTTTATCACTGGTTTCCTTTGCTAATGGAACGATATTAGAAACAACAAATGTTATGTATAAATGACTGAATGTCTTAGAAAGGTGTTGTAACTTACCAATCCCTCCACCGGCATGGGGTGGACAGCCATAACGAAAAGCGTCAATGTACGCTTTAATCTTTTCCAGATCTGTAACAGAAAAACATCAAATAGTTAAGTAATATGATATAGCAGTTATAATTTTAAATTAACAAGTAATCAGATTCGACATACAAACATACTTAAAGCGATCCTTAGTTCTTTCATGTATTCAAACACCAACAAGGTTTTTATTAAATAGAAATCATAAAATGTCAACGAAAGTAAAACACCACAAGTTACGTATTGGAAGTAGGCAGTAATTTATAACGAACATACTGTAGACGTGTGTAGTGTACCCATCTGGACCAGTCTATAATCGATTCACACAGACATGTCATAACTCTGAGGACGATGACAAACTAATTTTTGACCTACGACCTTTAGTATTGAATCGAACGTAAATGCCCAGACATGCAGTTTTTATGTAGGTTTAAAGCACTGAGAATAAGTTTATGAATAGAAATTAAAAGGGCAGATGTTAGGTTACGATTAAGAAATAAAAAGTGAATACAGCAGCATAATTTTAGTATATGAGTAATAGATGTGTATTATGACACAATCATATCATTATCACGACAGTCGACAAATTTATAAACATGCTAGTCAGTCAGCTACAACGTAGGACCAGGCACATATATGCATCGGTCCAAGTTGCCATACCTCATTAACACAACAAGATGGACACCGGATTCATAAAAGTAGTTAATTCAGAGGTGGCAATATATAAAAGAAAGATTACAATAAGGATATAGTACAGCAAGAAAGAATTAGTTCGTAGAAAGAAAGATATGAAGTGATTTTAATCTCTTAGTTTAAAGGAAGACAGAGTGTATACACCGACGCAATTGTGACCGATTCTGAGCCATGTCACCCACAGTCTACAACCATTGGTTACGATAGTCACGCGGACCCCAACCAAGTAGTCTGCATCTACCAACATGGTTCAGACTACAAGTTAGTGACTTCAAGTACTGATGCCACGTTTTGGTTTGGCCGCCTCTAGCTTTCTCCCAAACATCCCGAACACCGGCTAGCATTGCACGTCGTGGTAATCGGTGTTCAGGCATACGCAACACGTAGCTCAACCATCTCAGTTGATGAAGATTCACAACCTCATCAACTGATTTACCATCATTCCCTAATACCCTGCGTCTAACCTCACTATTACTTACCCGGTGATCCCAGCAGACGCCAGTAATATTTCTAAGGCATCTGTGGTGAAATACTAGTAGCTTAAGAGTATCTTCTACTCTTAATGGCCATGTTTCGCTGCCGTAAATTAAAACAAAACGGACTGCCGCGCAGTATATTCGTCCCTTAATTGATAGACGGATATCTTGCCTTCGCCATAAGTGACGTAAGTTGGCAAATGCCAAACGAGCTTGTCGAATCCGTGCTGAGATTTCGTCAGACACCAACCCATTAGGGCTGATCAGACTTCCAAGATAAGTGAAGTTGTCGACGCGTTCGACTACTTCACTCCCTATCCTTAGTTCAGGTGTTGACGCAGACCAGTCCTGAAGCAGCAGCTTGCATTTAGAGGGAGAGAAGCGCATTCCAAATATTCTGGCATTGTCGCTTAATGCTATCAAAAGACTGCATTTTATCAGCATCTTCACCAAACAGGACTACATCGTCTGCGTATTCCAAGTCGATGAGTGGACCTCCTGATGGGAGATCAATACCCGAGAATTCAGTCGACGAGAATGTTATTTCCATCAATAGGTCTATGATGAAAACAAAAATGGAGGAAGTGGACAGCCTTGACAGACACCACACGAGGTTGCAAAAGCAGATGACAGTTCGCCATAAGCTCTGACTCGGTTGGTAGTGTTCATGTAAAGAGCCTTCACAAGGTTTATGTACTTCCGAGGTACGCCTTTCAATGACAGACACTGCCACAGAACCTCTCGGTCTACAGAGTCAAGAAAGACCACCATTATCGGATGCCGATAAGTATGACGGTGTGTTAAAACCTGACGAATGGTGAATATGTGGTCGATGTAGCCACGACCAGGTCTGAAGCCAGCTTGATTCTCTCGTGTTTGCAGTTCGCGAGTCGTAGTTAGGCGTCAGATAATTATCGAGGCTAGTATTTTAGATACTACATTAGTTAAACTAATCCCTCTATGGTTGTCACAGGACGATTTTAACCATCTCTTATATATTGGAACGATAAGTGATTGTGACCAGCCAGATGGGATAACGTCTAATTCCCAGATCTTAGCTAAAATATTAGTCAACCTAATCGCTAAAATCGGACCACCATCCTTAAAGACCTCTGGAGCCAATCCATCTGAACCAGCTGCCATTCCTCGTTTCAGACTAACTATAGCCTTTTGAACTTCAGCAGAAGTTGGGGGACCTACTTCAATGTTCCATTCACACTGTCTGGGAATGGAGGGTAGTTGTAGAGTAGCTGAAGGCCAGCTGAACTGTTCTCTGAAATGTTCGCTCATCGTTCTAAATGTCTGGACTGGGAGTAGATGAGAGTATGGTCTTTTTCCGAAATAATCTCACTTACACTTGACTTATTAATTCCAGTTTCTTTTATTAATCTGTAGAGCCGTCTTGTGTTCCCTACAGTCGCCGCCTTTTCCATCTCTTTTGCCTTCGTTGCTCATCACTGCTCACGGTCGTTTCTTAGACTTATTCTTAACCTAGATCTGATTTGTTTTCGCTCTTCATCGTGTTCAGGGCCTGATGGGATGAATTTACGAGAATCCATCAATGTGATAGACCTTGAAGAAATCCACTGGTTCTTTGTAACTCTGTGGTTTAAATCACTGGTAGATATCACTGCTGTTTCCACAGCTGTTTGTATAGCTTTCCAAGCAACATCTGGGCCAGCCTCGTCTTGAGAACTACCTAAGTGTGACTTCAGTTGTTCCTGGAACGTACTTTTGGTTTTCTCGCTACTCAATTCAGTTCTAATGGGTCTTTTTAATGTGGCTTTTTTGTGTCCAGTGAGGCGCAAGCAGATGCGTGCCCGTATTAGGGCATGGTCGGAGTCCAAGCAGGTACTCAAGAATGAGCGACAATCTTCTACCGACCCTCTCCAACGATGACTGATGGCAATATGGTCTATTTGAGTCCATCGTTGGTTTGGTGTAGGGGGTCGCCATGTTAGACGATGTCTCTCCTTATGCTTAAAATTTGTGTTTGCTAAAAATAAACGATTGCCTGAGCACAGTTGCAGCAGACGATCACCATTATATGTTTGCTGTGCTGGAATACTAAAATATTCACCTAAATGCCTTTCTGTTTGGTTTAAACTACCTATCTGAGCATTAAAGTCACCTTCTACGAGTACTATGTCTGAACGTTTAGCTTTCTGAAGAAGTTCAGATAGCTTTCTGTAAAATTCATCTTTCACATCATCTGAGCTGCAGTCGGTGGGAGCGTAGGCAGAAACGACAAAAAGGCAACGACGTGTGTCCCTATCCTTCCGAGTTCTTACGAAGCTGTTTAGCCGAACAGCACATAAGCGACTGTTAACGGACATGCTAGTCACGTGCTGGGAGTATAGCTTTCTGCTCAACAGACTGATTTACAAGTAATTAAATTACCAAAGTTAATAGAGGTGGATTGGTAGGGATTGAATGACCATTATATTCTTGAAATGTATCGCTTTAATCAATTATCTACATAACCTATAAAATTGGGGAGTAAATTTTAATAATACCAGATATTAACAGCACATGAGTGGCTGATTTTACACATAATATTAGCATGAAACAAATAACTTGTTAACACACATCGCTCATCAACAAGAGAATCTAGATTAAATGAAATCATAGTCGGTTTGGTGCAATAGCATTTAGATTAATTTTTGAGTGATTTCGCTATGCATAATTTGCGAGTATAAATAAACAGAAGTTTCGATAAGGAATCACTGAATTGTGATAGTCCACCAAAAGATAATTAAACCTACATTTTGATACTACATTAGGTGTGCAACCTATAAACGTAGTTTAATATAACGTTTACCGACAACGTGCCAAGTTAAAATGCCCTTAAGAATAATAAGGAAGAAAACTTACCAACTTTATGGTGTGTAGCACGTTCCGATAAAAGGACTGGATCATGAATACGTTGTGCCCCAGACATGATTTCTTCCCCACGCATGAAAAAATCATACGAATTAGAATAGCCCTGTTTGAGACAAACAACGATAGGAATAGTGTTTTTTATATGCCATTATGTTTAAAAAAAACCTTTTGTGAAGCGATTGGTGGTTTTTCAAACGATTTTCTAGATAGACTGCTTACGTATAATCCCTGATGACTGAAGCTTTGAAACAATTATATAAGGCTATAGAAAAATAAAAATGAATTCTTATCTACAATTACTTTTGAATGAATTATGCCTAACTTTTACACTTACAATCACTGTAATATTAAGGATAATCATTGTGTATATTGCCTTATCATTGAATTCGTGAAATACATCTAGTTTAATTGTAGTGTCCTGATCAACTTTTCAGCTGACAAAAACTAGAATTAAGTATGTGAACTAACAAATTAGCTCCTGCGTGTTTACTAAAGTCAACTGGACCTCAAATTCAGAACAATTTAGGATCACCTGCAGTAGTAATGAGTCAGCCTTGTGATAGAACTACTTTACTCTCATTAGCGTTGTTAACGAAAATTCACAATGTCACCATAGAGACGCATCCAAGACACTGTATGCTACACTTAAATTCGAGAGACTGAAACTTTTAAATACGTTATGAAAAACGACTGATTGAATTTTAAACAAACACTGTGCAATTTCAACCAAAAAACTACTCTGTATACAGTATTAATGGGGAACACATTCTTTGGCACCGTCCTGCCAATTATTTGAATATACTAGTCAATATAAATCAGAAAACTTGAAGTTTTCTATTTATGATTTAATATGTTACCAAAGAATAATCAAAAAGGGTTTAAATCAATCGCTACTTGGCACAAAAAAAGCGTACCTTCTCAGTAGGATGTGGCATAGTATAGAAAGCGCGAATATCAAGTGGGAATTTATCAAGAATATAAAAGTCTGTATGATACTTTTCCTTGATCAATTTCCCAAGGAACTTTTCAGCAGGTGTATTTAAATCATCTAGTTCTCCAATTTCCCAACCGGCATCTTGTAACATCCGAATAGCATCACGATATTGTAAGCGTAACCTTTGAATGAACATATAGAAAAAGATGAATATTAATAAAAATACATGGCTAATTTTATTAAAGTGAGTACAATCATATAATTGATTTTTTGCTTCAGAAAGCAGTAATTTGTTATAAAAATAGCAATTGGAAGCAAAGTGTATTTATAGAATCTATGACGGTAAACATACGTAGGTTGAAGGAATTCAAAAGGTTCTGAATGATATTGTTGACATATGGTTTGGATTTCAGTTTGATATCTACAATTTTGCAAAAGAAATACAATACACAACGAAAGTTGGAGATAAAATAATCAAATATGAGAAGAGTTAATTTTACAAACCTCACATTGAATGAACCATAGATGATATTCACAAACTTTATTTCATGGTGAATTTAAACGATGAAAAGTTTGACAAAACTGACGAAAGTAACATGTATGAGGGTTAGCTTCAGTTAATACTGATCAACGTAGAACCTAAAATGAGTGTACATCAGTTTAAACTGTCAAACCTTACTTCAGCACTATACCAAATCAACAAGATGAGAAACATAGGTTTGGAAATAATTCAAACTACAATGAGAATCCAGTTGTGATGAATACACTCTAAAGGGAACAAACGAGATTAAATAATTAAAATTTGGGAACGACACTCAGGATTTAGAAGATGCATAACTAATGCAGCTGAACCACTATGGTGGAATAAACGCCATGTAAAGTGACATTTGTAACCACAACTTGAGTATTGCGTGGGTCCAAAATAGAATGTCTGCACCTGTCCTCATAGATTAATGACTTTACGGACCGACGTTTTAATCTGTGTGCTCTCGGATTATATGTTAGGAAACGATAGATGAAAATTTATTGATCCGGAACATAAGATGTTTAATTTTGAAATAAGGAACTTTTCTGTTTTAAGAAAAAGTGACAATACAATTGGCAAATAATAAATAGGCCAATTTCTGTGCTAAAAGGTGTATTCTAAGTATGATCGAGTGAATATATTTACCGATGGAACCCTTACTGGGAAGTCTTGGAATTTGGTGCTAAAAAACGAATGAAAAAGACACTAGATATTCAACGAAATAACGTTTCTCAAAGTATGATTAATGAGAGAAAAGCAGTATGAGAAAGGTATAACGGTTCTTACTCGCGTTGCAACCCTTTGAACACATGAACAAACATATCTGCGATAAGATCGACCACCTCATGGTAATGGTTTTTGAAGGCCATCTCTATGTCTAAACCAACAAATTCTGTAAGATGTCGATGTGTGTTAGAATCTTCAGCACGGAAAACTGAGCCTATGGTAAAGACCTTCGTAAAAAGGAAATCAATAATCAGGATATACACAACTGTAAAGGACTAGAGATCGATAATGTCAGTCTAATTTATGAGCTGCTAAACAACTATACACACATAGTTATAATGTCAATCACAAACGATAGGCTTCAATTTGAACCTTTCCATACTATTTGTAAACCAAATAAACAAAAACAAACCCGATCAAAACACAGGAACATTTTTAAAGTACTGAAATTGGGAACACTCCCTAATGTATCACAAACAAGTGCATAATCCGAGGTGCATTGTAAAAATACTACTTTTAGACAGATGAAAAGCTTAACTACTTATGGAGATTTATAGGTCAGAAAATTTTAGAGGATTAATCCCCTACGGATGTCTTTTAAGTTCACATATTTATATGGTAATATGACTGAATGTAAATGTCCAGTTATCAGTTTTTGCATCAATCCTGCACTTCCTCAATAACTACAGTGATATACTGTTTTTCGGCTTTTCCTAGGTATCCATGAAAATACAAAAAATTGGATGTATTATGACTCTTTACGTACACAAACATTAAAACAAACCAATTAAACTTGATATTCAAAATACCAAAAAAGCAAGTTTGTATATATGTAACAATCAAACCAGAAGTTCTCTACAGAAGACGTTAGACTTATAATGACTTAATGAGCACCATCTTTAGGAAACATTTACTGAGTGTTGTAGTAGAATTCAAATGGCCAGAAAGAGATTCCACTAATACAACGCTTTTCTACCGTAAATGGAGTTGTAAGCAGTAAAACCCATACAAAGTATGATTCCCAAATATTGAGCAACAAAATTCTACTTTCAGAAGTAAGAAACACTGTTTGTTTACTTAAAAGAAGTTTATAATATGAAACTTAACCTTTTATTAGGGATAAAATTCTTAACCTGGAGTAAATGCAACGCCAAACGTTAAAAAATGAAATATGATGCAAAAACCATCAAACGTAACTAGTTGTGCTTACTCTTACTCTACTCCTTGAAACTACTAAAGAACCAAGATCCATATTCCGATAGACGATAAAATGATTACTGCTAAATAGAATTTTTTTAATAATCATTTTTGGATCGAAACTTATATGACCCTGAATAAGTTTACGATATGTCAACCTCTGGAGTGATAAGCTTGATTACTTACCAGTTACGGCAATAATTACTTTGGAAGGTTGCGTATTTGATAGGGACACTTTATATACTATGCTGGCGCTAGGATTCTAAATTTCGGTTAAGAAGAAAATTGCTATCTTGACAAGATGGTTAATAAACAATCATATTGCTATTATAGTTATCCTTACAATGAATATCATACCAAACACTGTACCTATCGACAAAATATGGAAAAACAAAGCCATAGGACAAATTTGTACCTTACGGTATATGACAGAACTCAAAAATCTGCTTTAAGCAGTGTTAATTGTTAAAGCACTCGTCTTTCAACCATTAAGTATTAGGTCTGAACTCTTAAAAGCCTACTTTGTTTTTGGTAGTCGAGTATATAAGACTGCACTTAGTAGGTCGATTACATGACTAATGTACTGGTATGACCATTTAATCCAATACTTGAGTCAATAATTAAAATTCACTTCGACAACCTTGATCTATAGTGGTAGATAGGTGCTATCATCTGATATCACACATTAAGTGAAGCCAAGTCTAATAAACAAGTATGTGTCTTATAGCTGATTTGCAATTAAAATTCTATACAAATCCAATCTAAGACTTACGTGTGAGTAAACTCACAGAAGAAACGTACCCTTTCAAAGTCAGCCGCTATGGCCATTTGTTTATATAGCTGAGGTGACTGGGCCAAATAGGCACTACCAGAAAAGTAGGATACTTTGAAAACATTTGCACCACCTTCGGAAGCTGCTGAAATCATTTTTGGAGTATGGATATTCACAAACCCAGCATTAGTAAGGTATTCCATAAAAAATTTGACTACACCAGCTTCAACCCGATAAATAGCTTGATTGGCCGGAGTCCTCAGATCTATGCATCTATTATCCAAACGAGTATCCTGATTGACTCGACTCAAAGTCTGGAATTGAAGCGAAAACTTAAAATATAACATTTGCATTTGAACAATAAAATTTCAGGCTTAATATTGACAAGTGAAAATAAACATCACTAGAATTTTCGAAAGAGTAGGTTATTCGACTTGCAATGTACACAGATATCTTATCCACTAATACATTCCCACACATAATTATTCACACTTGCCAAGCATGTATTTCTTAATCCTTTGAATAAACAATATTATACTGTACTTGTGAGTTTCTTCGTCGAAAAATATCACCTAAAAAACTACTGGGAACCATGGAAAGTTACGTAATACAGGCTTTGAGGGGAAAGATATCTAAGGTATAACTCTGGACTAAAACCTGAAATGCGCGAATTTACTCGTGGAAATGAATGAAGCTTCTATTCTCTAGGAACTGAAATTTACAACTTAAGAGTTCATAAGTATTAAAAGTCTGCAACAACTACCTGAAAAATGACTAATCCTTCGAAACTACTAGCTTGAAATGCAATATCTGCAATTGACTTTTCACAAAAAACAAACGGCCATGTTTCAAAAACTTTAATATTATAAACTAGATATTTAAAGTATTTAGTTTAGTCGCGTTTCAATTAAATGTATATGAAAAAATGAATAAATATATTACGTAACCAACCGTTTCGTCATCATCAGGTCTCATTGCGTCTTCAATTTGTAGAGGTAAAGTTGGAAGAGCAGCACTTACAACAAACACTTTTTCACAATGGATTTCAATGGTATCTGGATTGCAACCCTCAATGAGAACAGGGCTTTTTAGAACTCTCCCAAAAACATCGACGATCGATTCCTTAGAAATGCTTTATCAAAAAAAGGAGAGCCAACAGACAACAATAGGTCAGATGAAACTCATAACACTAACGATTACTATTTTCCAAGGGATTTTAATGACAACGTCAGAAGAAACTCATAACACTAACGATCACTATTTTCCAAGGGATTTTAATGACAACGTGGTGTGATATACTGTTACTTTGTCACAACCAATTTTTATCACACAGTACATTATGAAATCAGAACGTTATGTGATTTTCCACAACATATTCCTGTTACTATCAAAAGTCAAGGAGAATGACAAAGCATAACATCACCCATAGTTTTGCATGGTTAACAGTGTAAAAGGAATGTAGTGAGTCCATAAGACTGTGATGAAAACTAAATGATACTACTAATTCTTGACTGGTTAGTTACTACATACTTGAAAATAAATAATCGTTTTCTCAAAAACAAAAGCCAGCTAACAAAGAACTGAATTATCCCTGCTTTATGACTCATCAAACGTTCACATCGCGTGATGTTCGGTCATTAGTTTCATACTGATACTACCTGGGCTTAATGAAATAACCAGCCGAACAGTTATTCAACAGAAGTGTTAATTTATATAGGGTCTTACTATTCGTTGAAGAGAATTATATATAACACAAGAATATGAATCATTACAAATATTCGGTTTGTTACACGGTTATTGTTGGAAGACTTGCACATGAAATGACTGATACATCTGTTTGATTCATGTTTTCGAATATGGAGACGCTAATAAAATGCAGTCGTTTATTAGCACTGAGCAACAATACCAGGAAGTTCAGGATCCGTTTCTCAAACTCTAAATGTACATTGGTGCTTCAGAACTGGCCTTCATCAACACTTGAACTAAGGATAGGGAGTGAAGTGGTCGAACGCTTATCTTGAAATTCTGGTCAGCCTTAATGGGTTGGTGTCTGACGAAACCTCTGCATAGATTCGAAAAGCTTGTTTGGCCCTCACCAACCTACGTCACCTGTGGTGAAGACGAGGTATCCGTCTGTCAATTGAATGATGAGTATACTGTGCGGTAGTTCGTTCTGTTTTACTTAACGGCTACGAAACGTGTCCATTAAGAGTAGAAGATACTAGTATCTGATCACAGATGTCTTATTATTATTATTGCTAGCATCTGCTGGGATCACCGGGTATGTATTAGTGAGATTAGACGCAGGATATTCGGGAACGAAGATAAATCAGTTGATGAGATTGTGAATCTTCATCGATTGACATAGTTGAGCCACGTATTACGCGTGCCTGAACACTAATCACCACAACGTGCAATGCTAACTAGTGTTCGAAACGGGTGGAAGAGTTGGGGACGGCCGAACTAAGATGTGGCATCAATCCATAAAGTCACTAAGTCCTTGTCGGAGCCATGTTGGTAGATGCAGACTACTTGGTCGTGGTCCGCGCGAGTATCGTAAACAATGGTTAGAGAATCTGGGAAACATGGCACAGAATTGATCACAATGGTGTATGCTCTTCGTTTTCTCTTAAACCGCAAGATTAAGATTACATTACAAATTCCTTTCTTCGAACTAATTCTTCCTCCCTGTATCACATCCTTGTATGAAATCTTTTTATTACGACCATGGAATTAACTGCTTCCCATATATATATATATATATATATATATATATATATATATATATATATATATATAATTCAAAGAAACCGAGACTAGTCTGAATGTGAATTACAAGCCCACTTGGATGTCTATCAAGACAATAAATGAAAAAAGAGTGGGAAGGTTCCAGAAATCATACGAAAAGCACCAGCATCTAAATAACGAGTTACCTGGAGACGAATGCCAACATTTCTTTCGGAGTACGTTCCCCGACAGAAAGCACGTTTTGAACTCTGTAGTCTTGTAAACGTAGTATAAAAAAACATAGTTTTCCTTTCATTCGACTTCTATGAAGACGCCCACGAACCCACACATTTTGATTGATATTTGACTCCTTTGACAATTCTCTCAGTTCAGTGTATTTGGGGCCTTCAGTAAACTGTGACTGACACAATGGGAGAACACCATATGCATCCGTTGCATCAAGTATCCCATTTTCCCCAAGGAGCTTAACCACAGTTTTCTACATACCAGTTGTTCCGTTATTAGAAAGAAATTAGTGGAATTCACCTGATCAACCTCTGCTTCTTGAACCTTTGGTTTACCTATATCGCGTTGTAATTTTCTAAGTTCCTTCTTTGTCTTTTTATCATTATCTTGATGAGTAACCTCTGGCATTATAAAGCCACACGCAGAAAGACTTTGAAGTGCACCAAACCGCGACCTTGGCGAAAAATTAAATTTACTACCTACATCAAATGGTTCGAATGGTTCAAATGGTTGTGGACGGAATAGAAGAAGCTTTCGCTTAACAGGCTTCCGTGTCTAGTAGCAGGGGATCATCAAATCCTCCAGGCAGGAACCTAGGTATGTTAACAATAAAAGAGGAAAAGAAACAGGTAAATCATAGTGTGATGCTGTCCTTCGTTCTTAAGAATAGGTCAAGTTGCCTCTAAAGGACTAGCTCGGCCGGCAGCGAATTCCAGCTTTTGACAACTCTTAGGGAGTAGAAGTTGTGTCTACATTCCGTCTTGCTATGTTGTGTTTCCAGTTTCTGGGTGTTACCCCTTAGGTTATTATTCGAACTAAGCTTAAGTAAGTGTTTAAGAGGATTTCCAGAAGTGTTAAGAATACTATAAGCCATTAATAAATCACCTCTAAGACGCCTGTACTCTAATGGGTTAAGGTCTAGTGAATGGAGGCGTTCTTCGTAAGGTTTAGATTTGAGTCCTCGAACTGATTTCGTGGCTCGCCGTTGGATGCGCTCCAAAGTGACCTTGTCCTTTTGGAGTGGGGAGAGTACTATGTTTCCGTACTCTAAATGAGGACGGATGAAACTATTGAAGATTGTATGGAAAGTTCATCCGTCAAACTGTCCAAAAATGCGCTTCAACGTTACCAGTGCAAGGTTTGCTCGGAAGGCATTTTTGTCAAGAATAGAACAGAAAACCAAATTCCTTCAAATGATTCAAATGGTTCTGAAAGAAATAGATAAATCTTTCTTTGCATGTGGGAGCCTAAGCGCATTCACTAAACAAAACGAGAATATTCGTAAATTATAGTGGCGTACTGTCCCAAGTCCTCAAGGATATTACAAGTTTCCTATGAATGGCTCTTAAGAAAACACTTTGCTAATCACAGCCGTCAGGTAATTCTAGGATTTAACTAATCTTAAAGGGTAAAAGATGTCCCTACAGTCCATTCTACTACTCTGCCTCTCTGTTTTCTGAGTGTTACTATCAAGGATTGTGTTGAGGTAAGAGGGTGCCCAAGGGTGTTTAAGATGCTATGAGTCACTATGTCAGCCATGGGATGCTTATAGTCTTATGGGTAAAGATTCAGTGATCCATGGGGCTAGTCACTACGATTGAATTTGAGTTCTCCAAATGACTTGTCAGTCAGTCAGTAACAACGTAGAACTTCGTACGTACGTACATCAGTTCGAGTTGCCACACCACATTAGCACAGAGATGCACTTGTCGATTCAAATCCCGTAGTGGTAGAGGTAATACGAGTATAAGCAGTAATCGGGAAGATTAAGGTTTGGAGATGTTATTTAAAGAGTATAATCCAGTGAAAGAAATTTGGAAAGAGGAAAAAAGGGACATGAAGAATTCAGAAGATTAGAATTTGGGAGAACATAGAGAGTGGATGCACCTGCGCCATTGCAAACGATTTTGAGCCATGTCATTCAGGGTCTCTAACCATCAGTTGCTGTCATCTCGCGGCCCCCAACCAGGTAGTCTACACCTACCAACATGACTCAGTTCACTTGTCAGTGACTTCATGGACTTGTGCCATGTTTTGGTTTGGCCACCCCTAGCTTTCTTCCAACCTACTCCTATACCACTGAACATAGCACGTCGAGGCAGTCGGTCGTTGGGCATACGTAACACGTGTCCCAGCCATCTCAACTGATGAAGTTTCACTACTTCATCAATTGATTTGCCATCCTTACCTAGTACCCGTTTCCTAACAACTGTGTTGCTTACTCGATGGTCCCATGATATACGAGCAATGTTTCAAAGACACCTATGATCAAATACTAGTAACCTATAGATATCCTCTACTCTTACCGGCCATGTTTCACTGCCATAAAGTAGGACGGAACGAACTGCTGCACAGTAAACACGTCCTTTGGTTGATAGACGGATATCTCGCCTACGCCATAAATGACGCAAGTTGGCGAAAGCAAGCTAGTCGAGCCTTCTGTATCCGTACTGAGATTTCGTCACACACTAAACCACAAGGGCTGATGAGACTTCCAAGATAAGTGAAGCGGTCGACACACTCAACTACTTCACTCCCTATCACTAGTTCGGGTGTCGAAGTAATGCAATCCTGAAGCAACATTTTGCATTTCGAGGGAGAGAATCGCATCCCGAACATGCTTGCATTGTTGCTTAGAGTGGTCAGAAGACTCTGCATTTTGTCAGCGTCTTCACCAAATAAAACTATGTCATCAGTATATTCTAAGTCAAAAAAGAACCTCCTGGTAGAAGTTCAACCCCTGGAAATCTAGACGAGGAAAGTGTTATCTCTAAAAGTACGTCAATGACAAAGTTGAACAAGAATGGGGAGAGTGGACAGCCCTGACGAACACCACTTGAGGTAATCTATTCTGATGACAGTTCGCCATAAGCTCTCACTCTACCAGTTGTGTTCGAGTAGAGAGCCTTTATAAGGTTAATGTACTTCTTTGGTACTCCTTTCAGTGACAAACACTGCCATAGAACCTCACGATCAATAGAGTCGAATGCCGCCCTAAGGTCGAGAAACACTACGACTGTGGGGCGTCTGAATGTGTGTCTGTGTTCTAAAACCTGACGTAGTGTGAATATCTGATCTATACAACCACGTCCAGGTCGAAAACCAGCCTGGTTTTCTCTAGTCTGCTCTTCACGAGCTTTAGTTAGGCGTCGGAATATGATTGAGGCTAATATTTTAGACACTATATTAGTCAAACTGATTCCTCTGTGATTGTCACAAGAGGACTTTTGTCCTTTCTTAAAAACTGGCACAATCAGTGATTGAGACCAGTCAGATGGGATTACGTCCAGTTCCCAAATTCTACCTAAGACCTCAGTTAATCTCATTGCTAATACTGGACCACCATCCTTAAAAATCTCAGGAGTAAACCTGTCAGGGCCTGCTGCTCTCCCTCGCTTCAGATTTCCCATGGCTTTTTCAACTTCGTAAAGAGACGGAGGACTTACATTAACTTGCCATTCAGGTTGACTGGAGATCGTGGGAAACCGAAGTGTGGCTGAAGGCCAGTTGAACTGATCCCTGAAGTGTTCTGCCCATCGATCCAATCTCCTGGATTGAGAATGTATCATATGTCCATCTTTCTCTGAGATTGTTTCGCTAACAGTCGGTTTCCTAATACCGGTTTCCTTAACAAGTCTGAACAATTGTCTGCTATTACCTATTGCCGCTGCCTTTTCCATCTCTCTTGCTTTCGCTACCCACCACTGTTCACGATCATTGCGTAGACTTCTTGTCAGCTTGCGCTTTAGCTGACTCCGCTCCTCATTATGTTCAGAGCCAGGTGGAATGAGTTTCCGAGCATCTATCAGTGCGATAGATGCTGCTGAGATCCAGTGTTGCTCCCTAACCTTGTGGTTTACCTTACTAGCAGATATCACTGCTGTTTCCACAGCTTTTCGGATATCATTCCATGCTGCTTCGGGGTGGGCATCACATACATGGCTGCCTAACTGTTTTCCTAGTTGTTCCTGAAATGTACTCTTAGCTTGACTATCATTAAGTAGGGCCCTAAGAGGTTTCCTTGCAGGATCTTTCCTACGTCCAGTAAGACGCAAGCAAATACGCGCTCGCACTAGAGCATGATCTGAATCTAGGTATGTGCTCCAGAATGAGCGACAGTCTTCTATCGAGCCCCTCCATCGGTGGCTGATAGCGATGTGATCTATTTGGGTCCAACGTTGGGATGAATTAGGGGGTCGCCATGTTAAAAGATGTTTTTCCTTATGCTTGAAGTTAGTATTTGCAAGGAACAGGCGGTTACCTGAGCATAGCTGCAACAGACGGTCGCCATTATCTGTTCTTTGAGCAGATGACTTGTAGCGGTAAATAAATCCCCAAAATAAATAGTTCTGTAAGTTTTCGACATTGGATGCCGACCACATGTTTTAACGGACTCACCTAGCTGAAGGCGCCAGGTCATGCATACGCACCAGATCACGTGTGGGAACGCCGTGCTCAATATCTACTACAACCACTAGCCAGACTAGATCAGACAATTCCGATATATTGGCAACCGTCAAATACAACTTCTGATCTCCTCGATTCTGTCTTTTGATTCCTCTTGGTGGGTATGAGTTATATTAGAGGGTGTTACTGGTAAAAGCATTGTCAAACACTGCATACCTGTACCATCTTCAGACTTAATGGCTTACCGTTTGATGGCCCTGGAAGAGATGCTTGGACCAATTCATGAGGTAGTGTATACCAAGAATTGATTACTCACTGAGAGCTAAAAACGTGCTTACAGTCTACTTTATCGCAGCCCATTTCTAATTTTTATGTGCTACCTCAACTTTCATGTTAGAACTGAACCTAAATGGGCATTTCAGAGGACATCCTGAAATGTTTAGGGTGCTTTAAGTCATTTAAAAGTTGCCTCTTGGTCACGTGCATCCAAAAAATAAAGATCTAGTGATTTAAGAGGTGCCTCGTAACTCTTGTATTTCTGTTTACAATATGATTCTACGGCGCCACTTTGGATGAACTCCAGATTGTCCTTATTTTCCTGAAGTGAAGCGGGAGACATTTTAATTCCACAGTGCGAATAGGGTCGGATAATAGCTGTCATAAGTGGAGCTTTATGTTCCACCGTTAAACTGTTCAAAACGTGTTTCAGAATTACCAATCCAATCATTTTTGTAGAGGGATTTACTTGAGATTGGCATATTCTTGAAAGCATACGTTATGTGACGTCAAGCAGAAGTCTAACTACCTTTTATTATGGACTTCCGATGTCTACCTTAAACGAATTGTTCATTTTATTGTTTAATACCATGTATACTCCAAATTATAAACCCACAAGTAAGCCTAATCTGTTTATCTGATTTCACCTTATTTGAGTGGAAAGAAATAATAACTAAAAAAATTAATGTCAAGTTTTTTTGTTCCCTATGCGATTTTTGTAAGATCTAACACTTCTGCTGTCCTGACATCGTATGGCCTGTCCGGATGCAAGTGGACTCCA